GTCCTTCAAGGCATCGATGGAGATAAACTATTGAAAACCGAGGAAACTGGGGGAAAATGTTGATAAATAACACATGATAATAAAGATCTTAGGGCAACAAAACTGACATGTGTTAATTTGGTATTACTGCTTCCATGGAGCTTATAAACATCATACTAATAGAGTTATGAATCTTAAAAATGCCTTACACCTGGAGAGAAAAAAAATATAGCTATGTTTAAGACAGCTGATACAATATCGACAAAAAAGTGCATGAAACTTGCTTGACCACTTACATAATGCATTAACCTTATATTCATGACCAATAATTCTTGAAACTGCCATTTGGTCAAAGCATAATTTCTTATAAAAATAAAGTTAACTATAATAATAAAATATAGCCATAAAACGTAAAGAATATTATCGTCTTTGTCTGCAGTTTAGTAATACAATATTGATAATTGATTGTATGTTGTTTTACGTTCCATTAGAGAATTTTTCACTCATATCAAGACGTCACCATATACCGGTGAAGGGCCTCAAATTTAGACCTTTACTTGGCACTCAGGGCTATTGAGCACTGAGGGTTCTTTATCGTGCCAACGCTTACGGTGACACGGGGCCTCGGTTTTTAAGGTCTCATCCGAAGGACCCGCAATTTTCACTTTAAAGTGCCGAGCGCTTGGCCAAGGAACAGTTGCTACATTTTTTTTTATCGAATTGGGTCAGTCGCGGCCGTGATTCGAACACACGACCTTCCGATCACAGAGCGAGCGCTTCTACCGACTAAACTACCTTGACGGTTAGTAATACAATAATATTAAGTTTAGTCTTCATAATGTAGCTCTGATATTGAACCCTGGACTATTGTCTAAATAGACAAAATCTACGCATGTTTTGTAACAAACATTAAGTGAACAATTTTCAATCAATTTGTTTTAGATTTCTATATTTTGAGATTTGAAAGAAAAAAAAAATTACCAGACTACGAAAATGAAATTTTATTTTTGTTAATGCAGAATGTTAATGTTATTTCTCTTTTTTATCAGTACATGTATACTTGCAATAAATGTGTAATAAATCGTCACCATAAAAAAATTAAATTACGCGGGATTGTTACTTCAGGCAGGACATCAAAGAGTCTTTAAATAAATTAATGAGTAAAAACTGATTCAGTAATGTTAATGAGTACTTTGATAAGAAACAAATACAATATATTAAAAAGACCTGTAGTGTAACATTGTTACGTGACTCTCATCATAGGATAAAAATTACTTAATGGGAAGCCAAAAATTCTAACAACCCCGACATTTAGACACGTTTCCAGTCAAAGATCTAGAATCTCCGATGCAAAACGATAAAAGATTTATTTGAGCAAAACATTTCTCGCTTTTCTGCACATTACAAATTAAATTTCCCATAAATTATTGGGTAGAAAAAACATTTAACAGCACAACTTTTAACTAAAGATGGATGCTTATGACTTTTGTAAAATAAAAATAGTCAGAGTAAGTTATCATTTTGCACTTCATGTCATAGCTAATGTCGCTGACGGTACATATTGTCGTTCTGTATATATATTGTCATCGGCAACAATATGCACCTACCCTATTTGCACATATTGTAGTCGCCGGCGACGATAAGTACCATGACGAGCCTATTTTTCTTCCTGCATATCCTAACAAAAATTTACTATAGTTAACTATAGTTTAATATAGTTTACTATAGTCCACTATAGTAAACTATAGTAAATACTTAGATACTTTGATTTACGATAGAACTTTACTTTAGAACTTGTTTTGAGATTTCGATGCTTAAAATCCCTTAAATTTAATACCAATGAGGTAAAGTTTGGTAATAAAATGTGAATATACAAGCAATACTTCCATTTAATATATAAAAAAATGTGCATATATGAATTTGAGAACATAAAATATTACAATCTGAAATCCATAGAAAAAATACTTTGATTTCCTATAGTAAAACTTTCATTTACTAACATAAAAACTTTGATACTATAGTAAACCATAGATAACTATAGTAAACTATAGTATTTTTTGTTAGGGTATATAATGGACGACAAAATGTACAGTCATGCATATGTACCTATTTTCGTCGGCGACAATATGTACTGTGTATATTTGCACATTTTGTGGCCGATGTACTTTTGGCGAATATTTACTAAGGTAGTAATGAGAGAGCCAGAGAGAGAGAGAGAGAGAGAGAGAGAGAGAGAGAGAGAGAGAGAGAGATTGACAAATACACTTTTGCACGAAAGGAGACAGAGTCTGATAAATAGACTGCAGACAGATAGACAAAGTCTATAGCAGATAGTTAAGTAATCAAGTTGAAGCATTACTTGCAATACTGTAAGAAGCAAACCCTTTTGTGTCCAGGATGGGTGTACACCACTATGATATACCAAGATACTGGAATTCTTGAACGTTTAAATCAGCTCTTCTTTTTCTAGGTATACATATTTGGAGATAGAATGTTGAATTATTCAAAAAATTGAATTTCTGCATTCAATAGTAGTGATTATCTGGATACAATTTCTGTGTTATTCTTATACATGTTACATCTAACATGTATACATATAACTGTGGTTGGGGGGGGGGGCGACATTTTTTAAAAGTCTTATCAAAACCTGCTTATATCATGTATATAGATGTTACACGGAATTTGTTAAATTTTTGGTGCACTGAATACCAGTGTACTTATTTAGAGTTAAATTAATACGTGTATAAGACGGCAATTGGTATAAATTTTTCAAATTTGAAATATCTGTTCATATACAATCTGTCTGCATCCTATCCTCCTTTCCTGATTATATGATCATAATAATCATCATCATCTTCATCATTACTATCATCATCATCATCATCATCACAATATATGCAGGAAGGGTACACAGATATAGTCACCAGGGACAATATGTACAAGTATAATTTTGCAGTTTGCGACAACACGTGCATGTACCGACGGACGGCAATATGTGCAGTTAGGGCAGGTACACAATGTCGCCGGCGAAAATGTGTATAGGACGACAATATGTACCGTCACAATCGCGCTGCATAAAAAAGCCTATTAGACATGTCTGTGTAATTTACACACCAATTACATTCACCCCCGCCAAAAATATTCCCCAAGCAACCCTAATTGTGGGGTGACAAGTGAGGGTAGGAACATAATGTCGCCGTCTGCAATATGTACATATGTAATTTTTCAGTCGATGACGTTCCGATGGACAACAATATGTGCAGTGAGGGTTGAAACGAATTGTTGCCGACGACAAAATGTACAGAACGACAATTTGCACCGTCTCAAGGTCTGTCTAGAGAGGTGGACAGTGTGTTCTCTTCATTTATATTATACATTCTTGTTATAACGTAATATTTACATTTGCTGTGTTTTTCTACTAAGCCAACTGTGCAATTGATTTGAAAGTCAATTTTGTGTATACTCACGCGTAGAAATATACACGGTGAAACTCGCGCTAAAGTGACGTCACAATGAGGCTACAGAGACGTAAATAAAAACGTAACGATATAGGGCAGCAAAATATTCAAATATTGAGTATATTATTGGTGCTTTTAAACTTGTAAAACGTAAATATAAGGAATGTTTTTAAGTTTAGTGTGAATTATTGGTGTGTAAATCACACAGACTTACACGTAGGCATATTTTTCATGAAGCGCTAGCGCGCTTCATGAAATATGCCTACGTGACAAGTCTGTGTGATTTACACACCAATAACTCACACAAAACTTAAAAACATTCCTTAAATAAACATCCCTACCTTATTCATCTCAAGTCTTACTTATACACAAATATTATGCAACACAACATCAATTTACAGCTGTTGCTCACAGTTTTATAAGCAAATCCTTGTATATATGTGTTTCTATCAGATCTGCACAACAAGACGTCGATCATTAGTTACTACAATAATTACAGACCATTAATCAAAGAAAACTTACAGTGACCCTTTTTTTATATAATTTTTCGAGCAGTTATATCAATTTGTAAACAGTTGTCTGAGTACAAATATTTTGTTGTAAGTGACATGTTGCTTTGTTTGAAGTCATTGATTCGTAAACTCTGGAGATTAGGGTGGTACACACAAATTGCTCAGACACCCGATTCTTTCCTCTAAAATGTTGCCATTGTTCTGTCTTTTAATACAATAGATACAGTTAATTATTCAGCACCGTCATTGAAAGGTAACGAATCAAAAACATTAAAATAAAAGTAAATCAAAAAAAAAAAGTTCAAAAGAAATAAATGTTATAAAACCACTTTTATTCAAGTGCGAAAACAAGTTATTGGAATCATAAATTAAAAATCTTGATTAATGCAACAAATAAGACCATCTAGAAGATTGAACAGCCAAGATTGCAAAGTTCTGAATGAATTGGTCACTACAAGTTTTATTCAATCATGTTTTCAGAAAATGATAAAGTGGTTGATAGTAATAATCTGTTTACATTGCATTGATTAATTAGTAATACATGTATTCTACCGATTATTGAACAATTTCTAGACATCTATCATTAAGACATGCGCTTCGTCAAACTTACAAAAACAACAGATGCTTTCACGTGCTATTGTTTGAAATCTTCAATTCTATTTAATTTGTCATAAAATGGATATCATTATTATAGCAAAGCTTTATCACAAGCACGTTGCATACACGTAGTAAACAATGTTCTTGGTTTCAGAGCATATTATTTTCTAAAGCTAAGTTAATACAACGAACTCGGGGGCATCTGGGATTTTCTTGCTTATAAGCTTACTCCGGAAATAAGTATCCTTAAAGTGTTGTATTTACCCAATCAAATAGAAACTCGGGGATCAATTGGTATTCCATTCAACCACAAATCGAGAGAAAAATCATCAGTCAAAGCTTTACAAAGAATATATCTACCCAATTATATTTAGAGCATCTACAGAGCGTGGGCAAATTTAAATGACGTTTAAAATTCATAAATATGAAAATAATAAAATATATTATTACTTACATAGATCGTATAAGTGAAAAACTTGCACATTCCGTCCCCAAAACCCCAAGTTGGCATCGCAAAGCTGACCGCTGTAATAGGCACAACAATCAGAAGAAATGCTAGATCCGCCAAGGCTAAATTAATAATGTAAATATTTGTAACGGATCTTTCGCCATATCTGAACACTATATAGAGAACTAAACCGTTTCCCACTGCCCCAACTATGATCAAAATCGCCCAAATGGCCGGGACAATGTGTATTGAATCCGAATTGGGGACGTCCATCGCTGAACTTCCATTCCCAGACATATTGGAGGCAAGTTCTATGGCCGACGTTGTAGTCATCTCTCTCTATCAACTATCACCTAAAACGAATACAAAATCCAAGTATTATAAATGTGAGATATTTCCTCCATTTCTGCAATTTATTCAACAAAAAGCTACATGTTAGCCAAGTACAGATGCTTTTTCTTTGATGTGTTCTTAGAATCCAGAATCAAAGTTGGAATATTCATACGCAAATCAAACAATTATAATTTTTGGTTATATAACTAATGTTTAGTCATTCGATTTTCGTTTTGAAGAAGGGAATTTGAAAATAATTTCCTATTAAGAGGAAATTATCAAAGCCTTACATTAAATATCACGTATACATCAATACGATGATGGGACTTAACAAATCACACGGGCATATTGCAAGTCTGGGTTAGACAGATTAAGCTTCTATGGAGGTAAAATAGTAACGAGAATTAACAGCTTTTGGTGTTACATGTACATGTATCATATCATGAAAGTCTAGAAAAGAATATTTTTATTATCTTTATCTACATGATCTATGATAAATTAAAATTCAAAAAACTTACAGTCAGAGAATTTTATGTTTACGTCTAATTATAGAATTGACGTTTTTGCACTTAAATTCATTAGACGATTATTTTCTTTTTTATCATTGGGATCATTCCAAAAGAAGTAATACATTGAAAATTCTAACATTAAATTATAAATAAAGCAAAATTGTAGGTAGCAAATTCTTATCAATCAAAACTATAGTTACTCTTGTAATTAATAAAATAAAAATACTGAACTGTCTGCTCTTAAAACGATAATTTACTACCCTATCATGTATACATACGATAAAAAAATATATTAAGAATAATAAAAAATATTCAAAAAGTGATGCTTAGTCATGAAATATGTTTAGAGGAGAACTTTAATTAAATTTAAAATTTTACACAATATCATTATTAAATATTCATAGACTTTGCATAATAATCACTATTTGGCTCAAAACTTATTTCAGCAACAGGAATTTTAAGCTTGGGGGTTGAAAAATACTCGAAAAATGTGATATATATTTCTACGTAAGCTAGATTTAAAAACATGCAATCTGAAAGAAACTTCCACACATATCAACTCACCACGCATGACCACCTTTATTAGTCCTCAAGTTTGTTAATACTTTTTATTGGATTCAAAGAAGCCAATTAATTTTTGTTCCTTCTAATAACGTACAGAATGATACATTTAACTTTAGCGAGTGAAATATAATGGAAAAATCATGTGCCATTTAGTGCTCTTAATGTTAACGTGGGTTAATATAGCAAGTAAACATACATTATTTGAAGCACATGTAAATTGATTGATTGATTGATTGATTGTATGTACTTTTACGTGCCGTTCTAGAATTTTTCAACTTAAAGACGTCACCATATACCGGTGAAGGGCTTTAAACTTAAACCTTTACTCGGCACTCAGGGCCATTAAGCAGTTAGAGATCTTCATCATGTCAACGCCTGTCGTGACACGGGGTCTCTGCTTTTAAGGTCTTATCCGAAAAGACAGTTCCTTGGCAAAAGAATATTTGCTACCTATTTATATCGACTCAGGTCAGACTCAGGGGTTTGAACACAGGACCTTTCGATCATAAAGCGAGAGCTCTAGAAGCAAATGTAGAATGATACAAGAACTTACGCTTAAGTATCAAAGTATCTTCGAAACGAGGTTATGTTTGCTTTAACCTGCAACAGGCTTAATGATACTGTATTTATCAATCATCAAGCTGTTGTGAAACATGCACGTATTCTAGGTCCCTAGAAAGTCAGTTGAGGTCACCGGAAGAATGACCGGTTGAGATTCACGAATTCCCGTTTTTCTAATTATCGGTTGCTGCAATTGTCTATCGAAGACCACAAATGAACAGATTTTATTGTTCTTTGAAGCATCGTCTCCTCTTGGCGTTGAGTTTCGCAGACGACTAATTTGGAAGATTAACTTTAACTGGGATGTTATTCAGAATTATTGACATCTCTTCTCAATTGTGTAACTTTTGTTAGACGTCAATTAGAAGAAGATGGACCTTTTTCACATCGATTTACTCGTCTGTATAGCGCTCAGAAAATCTTCTGTATAGCTCTGAGAAAAAAATATCAACTTCCCCAGTACGTAACATACTGAATGATGATACTTAAAATAAGCGCCCTGGAAGTTGAAAAATTGTCACAAAAAATTATTACATCAATTATCACATCAAAACGTTGCACGATGAGTGGAACTTCTTTTTTCCATGTATCTACAGAGGTAAAATTGGTATTCTTCATACCCTTTGTTCCCATTTATAGTCTTGATTCATGGTAACATGAATTTTTAAACAAGGTTTTTCAAAGATATTTTTTTCAAAGTTGTCACTATTCAAAATTGAAACCGAAAGAAACACCATGTATAGATGTAATTTTTGTTTTGTGTCTTATTAATAACTACTATTTTGTTTTTGAGATTCACATACAGTAACATATTGGTCGATTGAAAAAAGTACAGTGAAGTGTGTATTTGCGCCATTTATTCATGCACAGCAAATAGTTTCCTATGAAGTCTCTGATAAGATGTGTTTTATACACCAATAGAAAAGCATTAGGATATTGAATTTCCCCAGTATAAAAACGTCATTTTCTACGTGTGTTCATTCTATGGACATGATTAAACATATAATTCTGTAGACAATTTCAATATGCCTTTTAAAGGTCTAATCAACCAAAGCAAAAATATTGTAAATTGTCAGTAACAAAACTAATAAATAAAAGTATTTAAAATTGTTGAAATCTGTCTGAGAAATGAAGTACACATGTATTTTCATTTATTTCTAACTAATATTTAGAGACAATGGAGAAATAAGAACAAACATTCTTCTGCGGATTATCGTTAAGACTTTCTTAATGAGAATGTTTCCATATTTGCTTCTTTCCGTTACAATTTCCTCGGCTCTGATTACAATGCTAAGCTAGGCTTTATAATTAATGCACGTTCGATATTGCATAACGGAAAAATACAGGTTGCCTTGACTGGTTTTGTTAGTCGTTAATTTCCTTGCATTGAAAAAGCATATCACTTATACAATTAAAAAGCATTTCAGGTACCCTTGACCGTCCCATTGTATTGTGTTTCTGTTAACAACAGCCTTAAATGATATTGGATTTTTATCCAGAAGTAAACCAACCAGCATCTCAGGTTTCCATCTAATAGAAGTAAAATGAAGTATCTTATTTCTTAGTTATACTCGTAAATTTAATTATTAACTTTTTGGGTTGTCTAATCATGTTTTAGGTGTTTATTCAGAGATTTCAATTCTTTATTCTCGACACTGAACATTGCCCGGTTTGCACAACGACGCACTATCTTACTGAAATTATTCCCATAGTAAATCCTCGTATTGACTTTAATTACGCTCGCTATGATACTGTAAATCAAAAGAAACTGTAAAAAGACAGGGAGGTCCTCAACACTAGCTGTGTGGGTGTATACGTATACAGGCCAGGAAAGCCGGCCCCCACTTTTTTGAGTATAGTATTTTGCTAAAGTAAATTTTCCTTCAGCAAATTCCAGAACTGTAAATTAGCTTTTTTTTGCTTGTCAGATATTTTTGGGAAGTTGTCCCCCCCCCCCCCCCCCCCACACACTCACACACATACACACACTTTTAAAACCGTTGCCACAGGCCTGTTATATATTTAGTTAAATTTTTAATTGAATTAGTTTGTAATTTAATTTTTGCAGATTATAAACTAGTAACTGTATATTTGATATTTGAATGCATGAGTTAAGAACATCGAATGTATTATTGCCAAAAAGTCTGAAACTGGCCGGATCAACATTATATTACCATGGTAAATTCCTGGTATACCTAGTGTACTAAATTTCTCAACCTTATTAAACATCCTCCTTACAAATGATTTAATAGAAAACATACAGGAACTATTGAATAAATCCGTTGTTAGGATAACCATGATACATCGACTGAACTGTAACGATTGGACTGCTCTCTCTAACCCCCAACTGATTAATCCTAAGATGTTGACATTACGATAAGACTCCAAGAATCGTAGTATTTTGAACCCGATCCAAATTTAATCAATTTTGATAAGCTCTTCAATCGTAAATTGGATTCCTGAATCTAGCCATATGTTCAATTGTTTTTCCTGTAATATCGATTAAGTTTTAAAGCGTTATACATGAAACGGTACAAGAGATGATTAACCCTTTAAGCTGAAAGAATGTGTCAAAAATTAGTGACGTCAAATGCATTCGAATTAATATGAGCAGGCTTTGATGAAATTTTATTAGATTTTATCTGATAAGAAAATTATGTATCTTACAAATGAACACTGGTATTTCTTGACCATGTTAAACTAATATATTGAAGAGAGATTGTTAATTGAAAATGAAATTTTGGATTAATAAAAACAAAGTTCTTACTTAAGGTTAGGGATCAAGGTGAGATTGCCCCTTGTTTACTCTGCATACTCTATACTTTCAATACATTCTTTTCATATTAATTGAACAAAAGATGGTACAGCTGCCTTTTTTTATTTTAAAAAAGTCAGTTCATCATTTTTTTCCCGTTAGATCTGATATTTTCTTTTTAAAAAAGAATAAACGCTTTCGCAGAAAATTTTATGAACATGTATACTTTCTTTCTCTATTTACATAAAGATAGTAACAAATAAATTCAAATAAAAAGAAGATGAAACAAGAAGTTGAAAACGTAAGCAATGTTCCTGACAGAATTTGCATCTCAAAGGAATGTATCCCCACAAACACTGACACTCGGAAATCTCCTAAAAGCTTAAATTCTCGTGTAGAGATCCCTCAGTGGCTATGAATGACCGAGTGCAATATAATTGCAAATAAGGTATTATTATGATAGCTATAATATGTTCAGTCAGGGGTCAAATTCTTCTCCGAACGTTGACAATAAATTATATTTAAATGATAGAAATTCTCAAGACGTCACATTCCATTGTATTTTGACATATTGTCAGAAGAAGCTCCCGAGGGAATCAAGAAAAAAGCGGATTTCTCACCAAACGTATAA